TGGCTGCAAACTACAGTACTTAGACATCAAAGGCTGGCTTGATGTTATTATATGCAAGACTGTTGCCAGTATCAAGAGAAAAACTTTTGAGGATATTCATAAGACTTCAATATCAGAAATGGCTTTACTGTAGAGGAGTAAGCCTAGATACACAAAGAGAACTAATGATATGAAGAGAAGTGAGATATGCCTGACACTGTAACGCTAAAGACTGTTCCAAATACTAGCAGTGCTGCCCAGTTTATAGTTGTTAATATTAAACAGATAGTAGAGAAGTGCAGCAGCAAATCAATTATTGTCTTCATTTGCACGTATAATTTGAGTACAGATTCTACATTATGGCTGAGTTTATTCTGGTATGATTCAAAGCTTCTTTTTTTTTCCCTCTGAATAAAACTAAACTGTGAGTTGTTCTCTGAAGAAATAAAATGACATTTTTAGTTTTCTTTGTTTTTGTAAAGTGATTTCTACCTAGTTGATTGTTTAGTTAACTTTAATGACCTTTTAGAAGTTGCCATTATAAATAAAGCAACTGGGAAAAAGTTTTCTGAGACAAAATTGACAAAATATTGTCTTTATTCATGAGTTGGAAACCAAAAAAAGGGCTACTTTGAATAAGTATTCTGAGTGGAGTCACTAGGATGTCTTTTTGCCTGCTGGACTCAAGGAGGATCGATAACACTGGTATTGATTGTCTTGTACATAGCAGGGATTTCTTCATTGGATTTAAGGAATTTTTTCCTTGCATAAGGCCTAAAGATTTAGTTACTACCGAGTGTGTAGGGATTTTTGAAAGTATGTAAACTAGACAGTTTGTTGATATTTCAGTTAAGAAAGACACTTGAAAAAAATAAAGAAATTCAGAAGATAATACTCTTAGGGCATAAGATGATGAGTTTGAGCTTCCTGAAAGACATCCAGGTTAAGATAATCTTGATTTTCTGCTTAGTTCCTGTGGTGGGCACTAAAACACATGATAACCTCAAATACATTTGGTAACTAAAAACATAGGAATTTTCATTGTCTCTCATTGAGTGTTAAAGAGTTGCACAGATGAATTCTAAGCTGATTATATTCCTTGTCTTGAGTTCACGTAAGTATTCTTGAAAAGTTATTGTACTTTAACAAACAAACAAATAATATGTTTTTCTGAATCTATGTAGCATCAACATTCCTCACTCCCCAATCTTCAGAGCTATAATGAATGGCATTTCAACTCAGTGGACTCAACTCAATGTGTCTTATATGTTCTCTATCTTCGTTGTAGGTGTTCATGTACTTACTTACTACCATAAGCAGTTCGAGGGCAAGGTGCATCTAGGATTAAAGATATTGCAAGTTTCAAGCAAGTTGTGAATTTAGGGATGTGGCCAAATTATCTCCTCCCCTAACATTTTTTTCAGCATCTCCAATCAGCATTGACCACTGGTTTTTGAAAGCCTCCATTCTCTGACTCCATGGGTAGCCACTTAACTCCTTTATTCCCATATCTAATGGTAAATTTTCACTTTCTTTTGTAATTTGCCTTTTTTCAATCCTACTTTAAATTTTTTTTCTCTCGAATTTTAGTGCACTGTTCTTACTTCTTTCTTATACTGTCTTTTTCACAGAGAGATCATTTGTTTTGATTTGTTCAGTATTTATCGAAAGTCTAGTTGTACTTGAAATCTCACTTCTCTTACAACATCTGAAGGTTTACAGCCTTACACAAACTAGATCAACTCGATAAATCCACAATAAGGTGGAATTATTTTGCTTGATAGTGACCCATTGTTTCTTATCACCCTAACAACTGAATTTAGTACTTCATTGTTTAAATGCAGCAACAATTTAATCACAACAATAAAACCAAATGAAGTTCAAGTAATTTGTAGATTTAAATCATATGTTTTACATGGGTAGTAGTAAATAACATATTTTACTGGGAGTTGTAATTGATGGTTTTTTAGATTAGTGATAGAACAAAAGTAATAATATTATTCATAGAGTTCCTCTTAATTTTGAGAACAGTAATTTGTCCTAGAGAGATTGCAGGTGAATCCAAACCAAATGGAAAAACAGCCTTTAAAATTTCAAGAACAAGCATGTACGATGAATGTTTAGGTTTGGTTACCAGGTTGTTTAGTTTAATACAGAATTTCGTATTCTAAAAGGAAAGGATAAAATAATTTCAATATAGTATTGAAGAATGTGAAGCTAATTGGGGAAAGTTTTTTAACTATAAATTTTAGTAATATTTATTTGTGAAGGGTATCTTTTTAACTAGGCTTTACACCTGAGTTACTTTAATTGGTTGCCGATCTTGTTTTGTTTGTCTGGCTAGGAGTTAGGGCTGTGTTTATTGTAGCTCAAGTGTTAGAGGCTAACATTTTCTCTAGTGACCTTGTTTATGTCTCCCTTGTCCTTGAGTTTCCCTGGGGACTCTTTCTTACATACACTGCACTGCAGCTCTTCTGTTCTGATACCTTGTTATTTTTATGTTGTGTATTTGAAACCCTGTTGATATGATGGTTAAAGTTAGGAGGAGGGGAAACCTGTTACAATGGTGTGATTAGTTTTCAGTCTTTTGATGGAACTGTGACCTTCACAAATACCATTCATCTGGGGTTTTTTGTTTGTTTGTTTGTTTGTTTTCCTTTTTTCCCTTTTTGTCAGTCTGGAAGACTAGACAAGAGTAGAGTTGTGTATTTCCATTCTCCTGTGTCAGTTAGGTTTTGACAAAATAGCTTTTTCTTTGAGTACAGGTCTTTGATTAGGAAAACAAATTTCCTGGGTATATTTCTTTCCTTTGTTCTTTCTTTCTTTTTAAATAATCATTTATTTAATTTTCTTTATTATTATTGTTAATATTTTAAAATTTGCTATAAGGCATTTGTGCTCACCAGAGAGAGACAGAGGGGAGGAGAGAGAGAAAAAGTGAGAAAGCAAGCTTCCAGGTCCAGGACTTAAACCATGCTTGGCCAAGTGGGAGTCCAGCACCTTAACCACAATGGCACCTGCTGGCCCCGCTGGGGGTGTATTTCAAATTGAATACTTGTCACTGTATCCTACTAGGAGCACAAGAAGATATTTTTCTCTTGACTTCACCCCGAGAGCCTTGTGGGGCTTCTGGAGGTATAATATGAAAGAGTGACGCCCCACCAACGCTGTACCTCCAGGAGTTTTCATACCATGAATTGATCCACATACAAGTCTCCAATAATTAGCCACTTAATCATAATCATTAAGTTTTGCTTCCAGCTGCTGGTTCCAGAGGTGGTTTCTGCCCCTGACAAACTGTGATTCTTTGTATTTGCTTTTCTCTCTAATTTTCAGGGTGGTGGCTTATATTATGGCCTCAATTCTCAGATGAAATTAAGATGAATGACTTTTAGTCTGTTTTACTTGTTATGAGGCTAGGAATGGTGACTCCAGGTTCTTTACATGTTGTTTGGAAACTGGAAGTCACTTCCTTGCTTTTGGTATGTTAAGGTTCACATAGTAATTAAGTTCATTTTTAGTAGTTCTTAGCTGTTTCTTCCTGTGATTATACTGATATGTCCTTTTAATAATAGTCTCCACAAACTTACAGTTCATCTTTCAGGTGTTTCCATTTGCAAAAAACTCAGTGAGCTCTTGAGCATGTGTGTATGTGTGTGTTGTGTGTACATGCATGAGCACTTTTGTGTGCATGTGGTTTTTTTTTAAAGACTTAAAAGCAATTTTTTAAAACCACAATTTACTATTATAATTTCTTTTTTAAACTTTTTTAGAACTCTTCTATGAATTCCAGCTTTAAAACTGTTTTTTAAATTAAGCTTATTTCTTTCTTCCTAGTGGGTCGGAAAGAGAGATGGAGAAGGGAGAGTGAGAGAGACAGTCAGTACAGGGTTTTTATGCCATGTTCCACACATCACCTCAGCCAGTCCAGATCATGGGTGCTTGCACATGTGCCTGGCACATAGAGGGAGGCTTCAGAACACAAAACTCTGGAGTTCCCCATGTCAGTCCAGCATTACAGAATATTGTATTATAGCTGAAGGCTACCTAACTCCTAGAACGTACATTTTAAGTTAGGATAATTTTATTCACAAACATCATGTAGTGTCCCTTTTTCTTTAAATCTTTGGTCTCCTTCCATAATTTTTAAAAATTTTAAAAATGTATTATTATTTTCTTTGCTACAGTGTATGTGGGCTCATCAGAGAGAGAAAGAGAGAGGGAAAGTGAGAAAGCAAGTCACCAGGTCCAGGACTCAAACCACGATTGGCCTCGTGAGAGTCTAGCACCTTAAACACCACCTGCTGGCCCCTGCCTTACATAATTTATGTTATATTTTCCAGAAATAAAAATGGAAAATTCTGGGGCCAGCAGACAGCATAATGGCTATGTCACTGGACACACACATGACTGACCGTGGTTTGACTTCCAACCTGGCAGCTTGAAACTCACACTGGGCACATGTGCAGGTGTGCCCGGAATCCAGAGAGGATAATGAAGGAGAAAGGATTATGGTGTAGCCATCCCCCCGGGGGTGATTTCTCACTTTCTGTCTCTCTGTCTCTTTAGTGAGCACATGCACTCTATATCAAAAATACTTCTCTCTTTAAAAAAAAAAAAAAGGAAAATTCTACAGAGTAATTTTTTTCAATAAGATACATAAAACATAAAATTAAAATTCACAGGAGTTCTGTATAATAGTTAAAAAATATAAAAAGATAATTTCAATTTGACACATTCAGCAACATCAACTGATTTAAATTTTCTCAAATAAAGAATATGTGAATTTAATAGAAAGAATATCTTAAAAGTTTGGCTGCTTTCCTCTCTAGTAAGTGATGCCAAATTGGTATTATATCACAGCACAGTTCAAATCTCATTTAATCCCTTTTTACTTTGATAGTCCCCTACATTTACTATTATCCTATTAATATTAGCTGTCTAGCCAATAGTCTTTTGTTTGGTACTTACTCTAGTATTTTTTTTTTTTACCTTATTAATTAAAAATTTTTTCTTTTCAGTCTCGTAGTGTGGATAAGCAACATGCTGTAATCAATTATGATGCCTCTACGGATGAACATTTGGTCAAAGATTTGGGCAGCCTAAATGGGGTAAGCTAAAATTGTATTTCTTGTCTTGTTTGAATATGTGTTTAATGTTGTAAGAAGACAAGTCAGATTGCATTTCCTGTTTATATTACGTTTCCTTTTTTTTTCAGTTTGTATTTTATTTTAAATGCTTACAAGGTACATAGTCCTTTGGGGACCATAGGGTTATATATGAAACAAGACCATGTTTCCAAGAAACCGTATAAGCAGTAAACCCAGAACTTCGGAAGGTGGGTGATTGTTATTATCTGTAAAGAAGACTAAGTTAAAGACTTCTTTCATGAGAGCTAACCTTGACCTCACTATATAACTGGATTTTTATTGTTTTTTAATAAGAGATTTTTTGCTATAGGGTGCTTGTGCTCACTGGTGAGAGAGAGAGACAGTGAGAAATCATCCCACCCCTCCCCCTGGGCGGAAGGCCTTGCCACAATCCTTTCTCCTATGTCCTCCCAGGATTTTGGGCATGCATGCACATGCGCCTGGTCTGAGTTTTATGCTGCTGAGTTTGGTACTTGAACCGCGGTGGACGACGTGGGCATCCAAAGATGTAATCATTATGCTATATGCTGGTCCCATGGCTAGAATTCATA